GGGGGGGGGGGGGGGGGGGGGGGGGGGGGGGGGGGGGGGGGGGGGGGGGGGGGGGGGGGGGGGGGGGGGTTCCACGGTTTCCACATGGAGGACCCCTTGGTCTGCTCGTCTGCTAGCCTGTTCGTACATACAGCTGCAAGAAACAGCCTCTCGAGCAATATTTCTCAAGCATCAAAAGCCTACCGGCAGAACCGTGCACCGGCCTACGCATGTCAAACACCTACATAGCCCAACGGCCTTAAGCAACAAAAAAGAAGTACGCCTCTGCATACATGTATGCAAGGCAGAGGATCAAGGCAAGGACAAGCCTCTTTGGATAACCTCCACTTCAGGGCTGCGGGAAAACACCACGAAAGAATCGGAATAATGAACGCGGCGGCGATTTTCTTGAGACCATCAGTCTTCAGACCATCAGTGTAGTGCGCTTTGTTGCGTGTCATATTCCTGACTTGCTACTTCTGAATCCGTGCCTACGACACGAAATTCTCACCTAACAGTCGTTAACGAGCCCGAACCTCATGGTTTTCCACTTCAGGAAGGCGGGAACAACACCACGATTTAACCGCGAAATAAATAGCGCGGGGGAGCCAAGTCTCACCTGCTCGTCGTTAACGAGCCCCCACATCATGGTACATCTGGACGGGAACATGAGCCCCCCAGGCACCAGCCATCGATCCCTCGCGCGCACGAGCGAGTCCAGCATGCTCTCCCTCAGCAGGAAGTATCCCATCCACTCGGAGATGATGATGTCCACCTGTGTTTTGTTTCCGGCAAGGCGTGTATGAGTTGTGTGCGAGGGCCGGTGGTTGCCGCCAAAGCGAAGAAGAGCGTTTGGAACACGGATGGATACATATATTTTAAGCTATTTTGTGTGTGGGCGGTTTTGTCCTGCCGTCGTGTTTTGCTGGAAAATGGCCGCGTAGTCTCGGGGGTCAATCCCGTGTACCCGAACCCAAATTCTTCCTCCGCCATGGAGAGCGGGCGAGCATCGTAGGTCTTACCGGAGTCTTGGCCCCGCGCGCACGCTTGCTTTGCCCGACTCTCCCCTGCCGCTGTGAGATTTACTCGGATAGAACGGTATCCACGAAGTGTTCGACACCTCTACATCGTAGGGGGGCGCCAAAACGAGAAAGCTACGTAACGGCCAAGTGGACCGTCCAAAAAATGCGGGTGATATTGCTGTGTTGCCTTTACACGGTACATGCTTCAACACTCAAGTGTTGCGGACACCCCACGTGTGTTCGATAGTCTATTTACTTGTTACTTGACCAATCAGCGTGGCCAAAGCGTGTCCTCTCGTGTATTACGGGCTTGAGCGTCCCGTGTCTGGGGTTCGCCCGTGCCGATTTCTTACGCGACATCACCCTCCCATCCCTTGATGTCCAGAACTAGAAACTAGGCTAGGGTTAGACACTTTTTGGCCACCGTCGTTATGACAGTATCGGCACCTTAGCGTCCAGCTTGAGGTCCTCGACGCTGCACTGGATCACCTCCACCACGCCCTCCATCCCGTTCTTAGCAACCAGGCGCCGGGCGTGGTTGGCCATGTCCGTGAACTCCACCGCATACACCTGTGTTTCAGACAGACACACACACACACACACCAAACATTGCCAGAGCGCCAACAGGGGGAGGGGGCGGACCACCACACGGTCAGACCAAAAAAACGTCGGAGCAATTCCTTCGCTTCAGACTACATACTTTGTAGCGCCTTGCAAATAACGAAAGAGACTCGCCTGTACACTATTTGATCGCGGTATTCATGCCTGCAGCTGACTCTCAGCGAGCTCTTCCTTACAAAAAAAAAACACACACACATGATAAACGTGGTCTTTCAGGGTTCTAAGTGGGCGGCAGGCAGACGCCGAAGCGTTGTCAAGACCGAGTGTTCCGGCAACATAAAAATATAAAAAATTTCAGCGTCCATGGCGTAAGACCGCACACGCAAGGAAGGTACCGATGCACATGAATCGACCTGGGAAGCAGCCGGAAATCGTTCGCCTGTGCGTGCCACCAAAAAAAAAAAAGACTCGCCTTGCTCGCCCCCGCCTTCGCTGCCCACAGAGCGAGGATACCGCTCCCCGTACCCACGTCAAGCACGCGCTTGCCGGCAAACAACTCGGCGTTGTCTGTGATGGCTAAGGAAGGTAGGGGTCAAAAACAGGAGCGCGCGGGGGTGGGTGGGTGGAGGGGTAAGGCGGCGAAACAAAAAACGGCCGTGAAGCAGCAGCAGCGTTTCAACCAGGTTCGCTTGTAGATAGGCGGACAACGAAAAGCGGCCGCCAAAGACGGCGGCAGAGCGGTCTGAAAAACGTACATATTTCCCGTCGTTCTCCCAAAAGAGTGCTGTTGGGGGGGCTGCAACAAGGAAACAAGAGCACAAAAAAACGGGCTTCCAGCCATCGGAACAGTCGGTTGTGTTCATCATCCGCCTGTCGGTGCAAGCCAACCTCGAAAGGAGAAAAAAAAAAGAAAAAACTCGCTGTGTTTTTGCCGCCCCCCTGCGTCACCCCGGCTGATACGCCAAACACGTACCTCTTGAAAGGCGTTACAGCCAGTGGAGGTCCCGATGTAAGTGCCGTTGTGCATGCCCGGAGGTCCGGCCGGCACAATAACTGGCACCGGCACTATTCGACCAGGACTACTGTACATCGGGACTTCTACTGTATATACCGAAAATTGTTGTAGTCCGGCGTCAGAAGATGTACTGTAGATGGGGACGAAAACACACATGCAAAGTTTACAAGCCGAAATCAAACCATCAGCGGTGACTAGTCTAACGGTTTGATTTCGGCTTCCTCAAAAGTTAGAGACTTAGTCAGCTCTGACTGGTCTAGACGCTTTGATTTCAGCTTCCAAAAAAGATCAAGACCAGTCAGCGCTGACCAGTCTGATGTTTTGATTTCGGCTTCAAGAAAAGTTAGTCGTCGCCCCATTCGCTTACCCGAGTAGTACGCCTGCATTCGACGGTGATCCGTCAGCATTTGCTTCTGGTGGTACAGGCTGGCGTAGGAGCAAAAGTCTGAACCGACGAAGAAAAGACGAGACAGTGGGTGTAACAAGAGGAGAGGACCCACGACGGGGCAAGAGATCGAGCAAAAGCAGCGGTTTGGTTAGACGACGTGTCCGAGAAGTTGTGTTTTTGGCATTGATATTTGCGTACATCTCACGTATGGTGCGTTTTTCGTGTCTCCTTCTGCACGGCGTATGAAATCCCGCTAGCAAATGGCCACAGCAGAGTAACTTCTTCACGTGTATGCCACGATACAGGTAAACGGGGAAGCTTGGTCCTGGCGTACTTTGCCCTGGGATGGGTGATCCACGTGGTGACCTCTTCTCGCGATAAGGCAACGAAGGTATCCACGTCGACAAGTCTCCTGTGCGACCCCAGATCGGAGTTATTTCGCTTGCAAGGGATTTAAGCCCGAGAAAGAGAAGAACTGCTGTGCATTTTGCGAGTGATGGTTGGTGAGTACAGCAGTACAGCAGTTATGGCGGGGAAAGTTTTGTACTTAGCGCCAGCTGTCACTCTGGGATAAATCATGAGTGAAAAGGCTTCAAACAGGCTCGAATTAAGCCCAGTACCCAGCCGTTTTTCCTCCACTCGCGGTGAAGACTTCAACACACCTTTCAACATCAATACAAACACAGAAATACCACCCATTAGAGATAAGACCCATGTCTAGAATGGGTAGTCTTTCTGTGTTTTATGTATTTCCCTAAAAAAAAAAAATGGAGTTGAAACGTGAAATCTTCCGTGCTCCAGCGTACACTAGTTTTGCCCAAAAGGACGCAGCAGGTGTAGGACGGGGTCGGGGTCTTGTTTGCTTGCGAGGCAAAACGATTGATCAGGGGCGGTAGCGTGTTCTCTGCCGCTCTATTGTTTAGCTCCCGCTCATCACACTACGGCAGCAACTCGAGAGTCTTCCAACTTTCGACAACCAAGTACAAGCTACAGAGTCTAAGCGCTTTATCCAAAACTCTTGATAGTTGGAGTGACGGCCGCTTCATGACAATCGACGATATGCACTACTGCTGTGTTATGGACTGTGGTACAACCGGACATTCCAACCGTAATGTGGTCGTCTTTGCTCCACGCTTCCGGGGTATATCAACACAAGCCTCCGACAGATGGCAGCAGCAGCAGCAGCAGCAGCAGCAGCAGCAGCAGCAGCAGTTGGCTGTGCGATGTGCCAATATCTTCTCCGGTCCAAAATCCCGAAATGCGGCTCAACCGCAAATCTCAAAAGGCGTGGGTGGCACACAGCGAGCGTAAAATGACGGCTCCAAACCCAACACCAAACCATGAAAAAACAAACACCAAACACCATGAGGAAGGGCGCAGTCCCATAGACACACTGCGCAAGCTCCGGCACCATCGAGCTAGAATACTGCCACAGCTCGCTTCGTCTGGAAGATGTGGCCTGTCTTCAGATTTGCACTGCTGCCGTTGTAACAGCCTGCTGCTGCTGCTGCTGTTGTGTGGTGATAGGTGACAGGAATTTTCAAACCTGGTGCTGTTGAAGGGACAGCAGTGGAGGTGTCCGACAAGAGCGACAGATCGAACACCGTCAGCACTGCTGTAGATCGAGCTAGGCTTGGGTGGTGGCTGAGTCGTTTTCCGCCGTAGAAGTCGTGGTGTTGAGTTACGATGCTACAGAAGTGCTGTTGGGCACAAATCCGGTCCCGCTGCACTTACAGTTGGCGTAGTCCGCCGCCTGCTCTTTGGGCCCACCGCCCATCACCGTCAACTTGGGGTCGACGCTCTCGACTCCGATCGAAGAGTCCATCTCCTCTGCTGGTGGCGTTGGTGGTCTTGCGTCCATGATGCTGCGTGGTGGGCTGTGGGAAGCCGGCTGTTGATGTGGCTTGGGGTGCTGTTGATGTCACCCACGGCAGCGACACGGGGGGCTCCGCGACGGGGAAAGGGCACCTCCCGGCATCGCGATCTTGGTTGCGCATGATACCCCCCAGCACCACACACGTACCACATGCATGATACATGTTGCTGGTATCGAGTGAGAGAGAAGGAGGAGAAGCAGCGGTCCTTTGGGATGCATGAGCCCAGGAAGGAAGGGCGCTGTAGCCTGTATATCTTGGAGAGGGTGGCTGGCAACACGTGAGGTGACCCAGCGTACAAGGAGATAAGGGGGCACCTGTTGTTTCCGTACGGATTCAGCAAAAAGAGGGCGGAGTTCTGTCACCATCAGCACACGCTTTAGGTGGTGGACGTTATCAAGAGGACTGGTGGGAATCCAGATTGCGGGAATCCAGATTGCAGAAAGCGCATGTCCTCTGGGGACGGGTAGAAGAAAGGCAGAGCCATGCTGCAAGCACTCGAAATTTACCAATGTGAGCAGACCGCTCCGACCTCTCTGGACAGGCTCGTGAGGTTTTCGTTACAAAAATGGCGACTCAGGACTAGACGGGGGGACGGAGAACTTTCGTCATCTGTATGCAAAATCATGACGTGGACGGAAACATAGGTGTAGTGTTACGATAAGCTCTTGTACCTATGGGAGGGGGAATACCCCTTTCTAAAATTAGAAATAAAAAAGGACACCGGAAAATTCCTCCAAGGCGCCATTTGTTACATATCCAACCGAATTAAGATCAACATTGGACTAAGGAAAACCTAGTCTAATCGGGATAAAGACGATCGACGACCCCGGTCAAAGGGATGGAACATGGGTGGCAGTTGGCTTGTGACCACGGAAGGCGTCCGCGTCAGTTGGACCAGTATGGACATTAGAAGGTACTGTGTGGAGACCGGAACTGTCTCCACTCAGTACCTTCTAATGTAGACAACAACAACAATAACAACAACCCGAGTTTCTTCTCTCGTTGCTTTTGATTGCCTCAAGTGAAGCCCAGACGTGGCTACGTCAATAAATGAAGTGAGAGTGGTGCTTCGGGCACGTCTACACAACAAAAAAGGTCGAGATGCGTTCAATACCTGACCTGCCGCTGTTGCTCGACATCGAGAGTTCGAGGCCAACTGTCATGGTCGCGATTAACTCCATCATTGGACTTACGTACTGTATAGCTCACCTTCAGAAGGAAGTCGTGGCGCTGCTCAGCAGCTGGGACTACAGTGGGGGGCCCTCAATAACGCCGGTATGTGCCCAGTGCCTCGACCGGCGCTATTCAGAGCGACCGTCGCTATTGGAATTGTGCCTCAATAGCGCCACAACCGGCGCTATTGAGGGCTCAAAAACCCTCAATATCGCCGGTTGTGGCACTATTGAGGGATTGTGGTCATGTAAGAACAGCGATTGCGCTTTGCGGAACCAACATATTCACAAATTGAATAAGAATCGATTGAGTGGTGAAGTGGGCGGACTGCAAAGGATAAATCATGGTCCTGGGCCGCCCAGAGTTGTTGTGTATATTATCTGATCATCTAGAAAGGCGGAACCATGCTGATCCTCCTGCCTCATAAATAGGCGCTGTGCAGCCGGAAAAGATGCTGCTACAGAGAGGATTCCGCGACAGCGAAACGACGACATAACTGCACCCAATGCACCATGGAATGGTAAAAGTTACGAAGTTGCAAAAAATGAACAGCAGCAAGGTAAAACAGATGTGGACGAGAAACGTGCAACAGCACTCTTTCGCCCTTCATTCATGTAGCGAGGAAAGAACAAGAAACGACCGCAAAAGAAGCACCACATGCAGATAATCAGACACTGAACCAGCTAGTCGGGTAGAGACAGGACGGATCAAACGCCAGAAACGAAACAACAAAAAAATAATGGCTTTAAATACACCCCCGCGTTACCTCCCCTCCTCATTCGGCTTCAATAACTTCCGTCTCAACAAATTCCCTCAAGTCTGTCTGGCGCGTTTGCTTAGCAGCATGCGCTGCGATCATCGCCACCCTGGCTTTAGACAGATAAGAGGCAGCGTCTGCGTTCCCACACTCCTCCGCAGCCCGCTCCAGGACGCCGAAGTGAGACGACAGTTTAGCATAGGCCGGTGGGGCACCCCTAACCCGCTCCGTGCTCTCGTCGTCGTCATATTCCCCCTTCTCTGCGTACTCCCAACCGTCATCCAAGTGGGTCCCAGCCAGCCGTGCAGTGACTATCTCTGTCGCATCCTATCGCATCGCGTCCAGTACGTCATCCTCATCCTCCAAAGTTCCTCACATCCGAATCGCGTCCATGGCTTCCTCGTCAGCAGCCTCTCCCGGTTTAACGTCGAGGTTCGCCAGCAATTCACAGATGTCGTTGTCTTCAACGCGGGAGCGCATCTGCTGCGCGTCGTACACACTCATGCCCAACGCGTTGAGGGTGTCCTCGAGAGCCTTCACCGGATGGTCGGTGACGCGGCCCCACGCTTTTCCCTTCGCATTGGGGAGCTTAACCACCATCTCCTCCGGGAGCGTGTCGGCTTTGACAAAGCGCCTGGGTCATAGATAGCGCAGGAGATGTAAAACAGGGAAAGCCGCAAAATCATTGCAGAAGTAGGCAGACAATCTTTGGTGTCAAACAACAAGGAGAGAAAAGGTAGAGAATCGAAAACAATATCTCCCCCAAGTATGGCGCACTCCTATGCACACATGATCATGTAGTTGAGCCTACCTGGCGATGTCCTGGGGGGTGACGCTGGCCCATGCTTTCTTGAGAAATCCGCGGCGTCCCGCACGCGAGGGTGGTACCCCTTCGCCATCCCGACCGTCCCGGCCTTCATCTTGTGCTCCTTGGCCTGGGCTCAAAGTGTGTCAGCCACCAACATAGTAGACACCTTGATATCGAGCAGCTCTTTCCTGTAGATGAACTTCGTCTTGGCGATAATCCCCTGGTCCATGGGCTGGTGAACGCTGGTGCAGCCCGGGGGGCAAGTCTTGACGGTCACTTGCAACCGTGGCCATCAGTTGCTTGCGGCGTCTTGTCTTTCTGAAGGCACAGTTCACCTTCCGCACATGGCATCGTGCGCCTCTATGTAGAGCTGTAGGGTCTTTAGATGCACGTGTTTACCCCTACTGGTGTGTAACTTCATCAGGGCAGGTGCGTGGTGTGTGGTTTGTTTAAGTGTAAAGAAAAATATCGGCGCTATTGCGGGGTGTAGAGGTGCCCAAACCGGCGTTATTGCCGGCCGCCCTCAATAACGCCGGTGTGACGCTATTGAGGGCCACCGGCGTTATTCAGCCGGCGTTATTGAGGCCCCCCCACTGTATGCGGTTCACCGTCGTCATGTTTCCGTTCAGCAGGGAATGATAAGTCCTTCATTGTGCATTCACCCACCAAGGCTACGGGAGGCCTAGGCCATACAAGGAGCGAGGGGATCAAGGTCACCTGGGGCTCCTGTTTCCTCACGTATCTATTAACCTACGGAGATCTACTACCATTGGACTCATGCGAGAAAGGCACAATGATGCCGTGGAGTTCCCTGACTGGATCATCACATCCCTTCATGTGTGTATGCAAAACTCCTTGTCTACCTGTAGAGTCATACCTACCGGTAGGCTCGCTACATGTATCACAGGTAGACAGCGGTTTCCTTGTACTTTATTGACGATGGTACAAAAGACATTCTTGTATGACCAGTCTAATGAAAGCTTTGCGGGAAATTTAAGAGCTTTGCTTTCTGTGCGATGTTAGCGTGGCCGTGGGCCGGTTAAGCCTACCTGCGATGGGAATGTAAGAAGTGGGTATGGTTTTCTCGGAACATATTTATTGTGTGCGGTGCTCATGGATGAATATCCCGGACATCGCCCTACAGCCAGCCATGGCCTACCCTTGAATCTTCTAAAGTTCTGGAAATGGACCGTGTCCCCTCAAATGTGGTGCAGTGGTAACAGGCTGATGTTCCATCAACGTCCGCAAAGCATCGAGAAATCACATTCGGCGGTCCAGGATGAAGTCAAGCCTGCTTTGCACTCGTCTTCTTCACCCCCCTCCCTTTCTCGGCAATGCTTCCTCCACCCTACCCCTACTGCGGGATCAAGACTAAGGGGAGAAACCGCCGAGAGTGGGAGGATAACGGCCTGAAGATACATACGTACAACTGTACCTCCTGTATCACACTTTTAGCATCGTCATTAGTCGAACATACCAAAATATACCAGTTTGGTGTGTACTTTCAGGGCTTTGATTGAAACTCGTTCCCGATCGATCGTACCGGACCGAACGGCCTTTTTCCAGGCAAGTCTACTCTCGCCTCCGTTGCCAATCAACGTCGCCGTCTAGCTCCTTGCAAACGAGACCATTGTGCCGCATGTACCTGTTCCATATGGCACCGTTTGGACGGACTTCTGGCATACAGGTTCTACTCACCGGATAGACTACCGCCGGCACATTGCACCAAACATTGTTCGAATGACAGCCACGACGATGTATAACTTCATTGCTAGACTAGTTGGGAGAGAGAGGAGCTCATCTCCCGTCTAAATATTTACAAAACAGACGTAAAATACATCTTCATTGCACATACATGCGATCAACGTCGTGTTGACACCTAATGGAAAAAGACACTTGTCTCGCGAATAATCTCGCTCACAGATAGGTCCACGAAACCTGTAGAAGCACGCCATGACAATACTAACAACTATGGTACACCCCAATAAGAAATCACACACGACTGACATACCGTGTTCGAGATACATACGTGGTTCTGCAAAAACGAACTAATGTACTGCTGTCACAATTTATATTGAGGGAAGTACCCCTGCTCAGCGTTTCGACGCAATCCAAGACTGGGATCAGCATCCAAAACCCAGGGACCCCTCCCCTCCGCGATCCTGTATGTGATCGACGTCGACGCTGGTGCTTCTTCTCCTGGAATCAGAGCCTCAAGCCGCCCGTGGTTCGCCCCCCACCGCCCTCCCGCGGTCCGAGTCGCCGGCGCAAGCCGTGAACGTCCTTCGCTATGCT